ACTTTCCCCACCCCATCCCCAGGTTTGGGGTGTCCAAGAAACCTGTGATAACACAGTCCAGCAGCACTGTTGCTTTTATCTGCTTGTTGCCTTTCTCTCAAAGGCAAAGAGTTCTCTGCTCTTAGAATCTAGAGGATATGTCCAAAATTCATCATTAAGATCCACTGCACTGAAACATTTGTGTTCAAATGAGATTTTGCTGAGGAGAGTGTAGGGCACAGGCATCACAGGATGACAGGCCTGGATAGTCTGATTTATAGCCCTCAGATCCTGCACTAGTCTGTACGACCCACCAGATTTTTTAACTAGTAGAGCTGGGTTGTTACATGACAACATACAGGACTCCAGCCATCTATTTTAATTAATCTCTCAATTACTAGTTGTAGTGATGGGGTATTGCTTCTACAAATTATTTCCCCTAGCTGTTTTAGCTCAATTCATAATGGCATGATTTTTAAGCTCCTCCCTCCCCTTTGCTCTCCTTGACCCACACAAGGAGATCAATCTTCCTTTCCTCCTCTTCTGTTAGAAAAGCCATTTGACTTTCATGTCCCTCTTCTTCCCATAGTCCCAGACCTAGCTTCACAATTAGATCCTAGTCCAGGAGATTAACTCCTGCCTCAGGAACATATAACTGTGACCCCTCAATTTGCTATGATCCCCATGTAAATAACATTTTCTTAAAACTAGGAAGCTGAAATTCCTCTCTTTTTACCACCAAGACTGTCAATTTTTCTTTAGATAACTCTGTACCTTTTGGTTGACACCTAAGAAAGGATTTACCAGCTTAAAAGGTTATTTCCTCCCTGGCAGATCCCACCCTTAAATTTATCAAGGGTTTCTGGTGGGAATCCTTGGCCCACCTAATCTTTATCAAAAATCACACGAGAGGAATCACCTTTTCCTCCTTATTCAACTCCGGAGAGTCCCTCTTAAAGTGGCCTGGCTTTCCAAATCTGTAGCATCATTTGTAGTCCTGATAGTTTTTCCTTGCATTTCTCTTTTGTTCCTCTGCTGGAACCTAGGATTATTCTTTCTCTACTTTTGCTGAGCGGAATCTTGACTTATTCTTTTTTTTGGCCACTTCCTCTACAGTGGAGACTGTGATTTTTGCTTTTTGTTTTTGTTTGTCCTCCTCCCTTCTTGCAAAGATTTTTTGAGCTTCCCTCAGTAACTCTTCTATTGGTTTTTCTTTCCAGTCCTCAATCTTTTGTAGCTTTTTGGTAATGTCTGGCCAGCACCCGGTTATGAAATTAACCTTCAGAAAGCCCTGTTATATTGGGTCTTCTGGGTCTAGCCCTGAGTATTTGCTCATTTGATCTCTAAGTCTTTGTAAGATGGCAGAGGGGGCTTCCTCTTTTTATTGTTGGACCTCAAATGACTTACATACATTTTATGGTCCATGGGTGGACTCTTTTATTTCCTGGATTATTAGTTCCTTGAGGTCCTGCATCTTTGCTTGATCCCTGAGGTAATTATTATCCCATCTGGGGTCAACATTTGGACATTTTTCCTTAGCTGGCCTGACCTCCCTGCCCAGAAGGATGCTGTCTCTCCCAGATGGTCAAGGCCACTCTTCTGATCATCCCTCCCTCTTCTCCTGTAAATAAGATATTCAAAATGGACATCACTTTGGTCTAAGTATAAAAACTGGGTCCCAGAAACTGGTTCAATTGTTCTAATAAATCCAGGGGATCTTCTAAAAAGTATTTTTATTTCTTCCTTAAAATTCTAACCTCTGCACTTGTGAGAGAGGAATTCAGAAGCCCAATTTCTCCTGGCCCTATGGGAACTTCCTAGAGAGAAAACATTGCTTGTTTAGAAGGAATGGGAAAACTTATAATATCCTTTTTTTGCACTTTTCTAATTCTTTTCTTAAATTTGGGTAAGGGGCTGTTGGCTCAGCTCTGTTACAATAACTAGTCCTGTTTCTTCTGGCTCCTTGTTTGTCCCTGGATCCTCCTGCATCCTAGTCTGCAGAACATATGGAAGTGGCGATCTTTATTGGGGGTCCCAGGGTTTTTCCTCAACACCCTGTCCCTGTAATCAAAAAAGAGCATAACATTTTTCCTTCTGTATTGATGAGGTCTTTACATTTACAAAATGACTAGAGTTTGGCATACCCAGTCCTTATCTGAGCCAAACATGGGCCAAAAGACAGAAGACTCCAAAATTGGATCATTAGGCCACGATATTTGATCATCTTTTGTTTCTTCTTATCCTTGGTTCAGGGGCTCTCTCCCCAGAACCTCAGCATTCCCCTGTGGCCTATCCAGGAGAATGCTCAAGTGATCTTCCTTGGCTTTGCTTTCCTTGATTTCCCTAGGCCTAGAATTCTTGTTCCCCATTTTTAGAAGGCACCTGTCACTATCCCAGGCACTCAGCCTCCTGTACTGGAGGTTTCTTGCACACCCCAATGTGCTCATCACACCCATACTTTTGGTTCCTTGCACACCCTGAAATTTGCTTCATTCATCTCTGGCCGTTTCTCCCACAAGACAATGAAACCACAGATTGAAACTCCACACTCGCTTTGTGTCTGAGACACGCCTCAATCAAGCACACTTAACCTTCAAAAATACCCAACCACCAAGGCAATACTTACAGTCCAATTTTCCTACCTTAGCTAGTGCATGAGGTTTCCTGGTTTTTCCTCCCTGTGTTGCTCCACTGTCTTCCAAAAAACAGTCTGGGATTTATGTATGGTTTCTATGGAGAGACAGGACACCCAAGCAGAGCAGGCCACCTGAGATCAGTAGGAGGCTTCTCCCCCTTGACTGGGGTCCTACTCCACACATGCACAAAGATCCCCCAAGTTGTGAGAAATATCCTCACCTGTCCAAACTCAAAGAATGGACTCAGAGACATGTGAAGTACAGCAGAAGCAAGACTTTAATGACACACCTAGAACAGTTACTTTGAGGACTTACTGCCAGCACTCAGGTCCCTCCTCTGGTTCCTCATTGGCTGAACACTGTGGGGTTTACATTCTTTTCACGAACCTAGCCTAATTCCTTTAGGGTTATTTTAAAATATACTTCTCTTGTGATCGGTCAAATTTTACAAGTGGGATCCATCTCTTCTGTGGTGGGAAAGTTTTCCTGTAATATGTGCCTTGTGGTGCTACTGAGTTTTTTTTTTGTTTTTTTTTTTTACCTATTTTCTCATTGTATTGTAATTTACCTCTCCCAGTTTAAGTTCCAGTATCAGTTTCCCTCCCTACCACCAGTCAACATTCACAAGCTGATATACAAACAAGTGACTAGGGTCAAATGCCTTGCCTTGAAAATGGACCACCACTGACTTTACTTCTAACATTTTTCATATTCCATTTTTAACCTGTGTGTACTCTTCTATTTAAAATGGGCTACTCCCATTTTAATTATAATTATAATTTGAAGAGAAAAATGTTAATGCATTCATCTGTCTTTAAAATTAATAATTAAGAAATTAAGAATAATAATTTATATATAATACATGCCCTATCCTGGTTATTGTATTTCCTCAAGGTTAAAAAGCTTGAATTTGGAAAACATAAAAAAATTTGAAGGAGAAACAGCTGAATTTGTGAATGCAGAAAATCTATAACCATTCTTGTTAAGATATAATTCTTGTCACTTGTTTGCTCAAAAATAATTTTTATTTAAAAAATCAAACAAGAGTTTTCACAAGAAGAAAACTGGATTTCTTATACACAACATATAGCAATGTGTTCTTAGGTTTTTGTACATTCTGAAAAATCTTTGTCTTTTTTTGGTATGTATATAATAAGTCACATATACAGTGGTTATTGATATAAATGAATTAATACCTAACATGCTTGAAGCTGTATTCTATTCATTGTATTTATTCTTTATTTTCCTTTTTCTTCTGTCTTCTGTGTTTAATTCAAGATTTCAGTGTGAGAATAACAATTATACTCTTTGAAAGTATTTAAGGTTTTAAAGTTGCCCTAGAGTTTTCAATATACAGTTACAACTAATCTAAGCCCATTGTCAAATAATATGATTCAATTTTACAGGTAGGGCAGGTAGTTTTCCCAATTCCTACATCTTATCATTTATTATATTGGCATTATTCATTCCTCTTGTCTATGTCTTATCACCTACATCTTGTTATGACCACTGCTTTGAACAATGAGCTATACATTAAAAAAGAGTAAGAAAGTTCAAATATATACATTTATTAATTCTTTTCTTATGATCTTTCTTTCTTTACATAAACTCAAGTCTTTGACCCAAATATTTGTCATTGTCTCAGAAGAATTATGTTTCACATTCATATAAAGCAAGAGATTCTTTTTTCTTTTGTAAATACTGAGGGTTGAACTCAGAGCCTCATGTTTGCTTAGTGGGTGTTCTACCACTTCAGCTGTGTCTCCACCCTCTTAGAGCAAGACTTTCTTGCCTCTAGTATTGTTTGCTTTAGGTTAGTTCATATTCATTGAGAATCTCTATGCTTCCCTAGTCTATGTCTAGAGGTAGCAATTTGCATTGTCCTCATTTCTGTTTTTGGAATGTTTTTCTTGCTGAAAAGACAGAAGTGATGATTTTCACATTTTTATGTGTTGGAACTGAAAACAAAATTATTTCATGTATTTTACCATAAATTTCCCACTAAATATAGAAACAGTTTATTGACCATATCTTTTCCTTTAAGTAGATATAAATATGAACAGATAAACAGATAGGAAAGTAGATAGATAGATAGGTATAAATTTGTATGAACCAGATTATTGAAATTTGAAAGGACAGTGATGAAATTTAAAATGCATTCCTATTAGTAGGTTTCATAAAAATAAAAATTAAAGATAGCTTGAGAAACATAGTATCACATCAAATCTCTTCTGGAAAGCATAAATTAATCGAGAAATAACATTTTGAGGACAAGGTGGCAATTTTATTAATGTACCATGAATTCACAAGCAACGTTCTACAAACCTAAGTTGCACTTAAAATTTTAGTTTTCAGAAATTTTCTTATTTGGGAAGAAAAGACCCACTACTCGATCACGAATCTGCTTGGTTTTAACACCATACACAAGTGGATTAACTGTGGGGGCACTAGGAGGTACACACTTGCAAAGATTATGTGGACACTTGGAGGTACCTTCTTGCCAATGCGGTGAGTTAGGAAGCTAAACAGTGCAGGTGTGTAAGAAACTAGAATAGTACACAAGTGACAAACACAGGTGCTCATTGCTTTGGAGCGGGCATTCTGGGAAGAAAGGCGGAAGACAGCTTGAAGGATCTTTATATAGGATGTGGCTATGAGCCCTAGGTCCAATGTCATTACTGAAAGCGCCACTGAGATTCCATACGCTCTGTTAATGAAGGTGTTAGCACTGGCCAATTTCACCACAGCCATGTGCTCACAATAGGCATGATTGATGACATATTTTGTATAGTATGGCAGCCTATTAATGAGAAGAGGGCATGGTAAAACCATAAGTAGAGCTCGGATCATACCAACTACACCCATTTTAATCACCACTGATGTTGTCAGGATGGTTGTATAATGCAGTGGGATACAAATAGCTACATAGCGATCAAAGGCCATGGCAACTAGGAGGGCTGACTCCAAAATGCAAAGTGTGTGGATAGAATACATTTGTGTTAGGCAGATGTTGAAGTTAATCCAGTGTGCATCAAACCAGAAGATGCCAAGCATCTTGAGGGCTGTGGAAGTGGCAAGACCCATGTCATTCACTGCCAGCATGCAAAGGAAAAAGTACATAGGCTGATGGAGGCTTGGTTCTAGCCTGACAGTAACAATGATAACGCCATTTCCCAGCAGGGTCAAGGAAAACAGGAGGCAGACAGGGATGCCAAACCAACAGTGAAACTCTTGCAACCCAGGAATACCAACTAGGAAGAATGACGAAATGTGGTAATCAGTAGCATTGTCTGCCATGTTAAAACTTGAGGTGTGCCATATTTAGTATGAAGTAGCCAGACAAGTCTGCTATGTGCATAAAATAGAATTACAAAGTTGTACTTCTTGCATAAAGGAATCCAGACCCACTCACTGTATAACAGCCTCCTTGAATTGCAGAATGCTTTCTAAGCTTCTGCAATTCAGGTAAACCATACGGAACCCAGCATCTTTATCTGCAAATGAGAAGGTTAAATTTATTTATTACAGACTGTTTCTTACTATTGAAGTTTGATTCAGTTCTACTTTAAATTCTTAATTTCCTACAAATAGAGCAGTTAATAAAATAATCATATCTTTGTGTCTAAAGCAGAGTCTTTCTTCTCAAGGACTGAGATAAAATATGCAGCTAGAACCATAAATAAACACATGAACACACCAATTAACAGTTATTTAAATATGAAGTTTTTTATTAGTTATAATATTCTTAGGAAGCATAACTAACTGGGAACTCAAAATGAGTTCTAACACAAACATTTTAGCCACTTAAAGGTAAATTTATGAATATTTTAGATTGTCAAAGGGCAATTGTAACAATTATTTTTAAAAATGTAGCTGATGGAGTGGCTTGCTAGAGCACCTGCCTAGCAAGTGTGAGGTCCTGAGTTCAAACCCCAGAACTGCCAAAAAAAAGTTCTAATCACCTGCTGAAATACCGGGAGTGGGATAAAGAAAAATGATGGAGGAGTGAATTCAAATATGATATATTATTAAAAAATTTGTAAATATCACAATGTACCCCCAGTACAACAACAATAAAAAAACAATAAAAATAAAACTTTGAAGTTTTTGTTAAGATTTATTTTCCATTCTAAAATTGGGAAACTCCTCATTGTATAATTTATAATAAGCATAAGCAGGAGTTTGATTTTATAGATATAAAAAGAATGAAGAAAGCAGCAACAAAGAAGACTGGGCATTTCAAAGTTGCTTTTCTTGAAGGGTGAAGACAGATAGAAGAATCAACAGAGAAAAATTGGTTAGTATCAGGATACTTCAGGCTACTGTTTTTGTGTAAGACTAAGGCAGGGAAACTTCACGATCCTGACAATTGACTGTGGTCTGTTTGGGAAATTTAGCTGATATTTCTTCTCTTCTCTTGGGGGTCGGGGCACAAACTAAGTCAAAAACAAACTACAATTTTTATCAGTAAGATTAACTCCTTAAGAAGCCTTGAAAATGTGCAGGAGGACACATCTTAATAAACTATGAAATAATGGTAGATTTTATTTACTTGTGCCAAAAATAGTTTAAAATTATTGCACATATGCTTTTTTCTTTCAGTCTGATTTCTGAAACACCAAGACTCTGAAGAATAAGTTCTGCTTGGGCTCCTCCACCATCCTGTCTAATCACAGTGAAGAGTAAACAACTACAATTCAGTCTTTGATGTCTCAACAACAGGAATAGTTTTGTAGGACTGTCCCTCTGACCATATTCTTCAATTTTCATAATTATTCTCTGCTGGATGTTTTTATAAATGTTCACAGTGGCAATGCTTTGTTTTCTGTTTGTCTGAATAATAATTCTATGGGAAAAATAAATTTATGTTTCTGGTATCTGCTACTCTGTGCCTATATCAGTGAGTTTCTGAGGGATTTCTTATAAGGAGTTTCTGATTTTTCATGGAGTCACAAAATATTTCAAAAAATTAAAAGCTTACACTTCCTCTAGAATGTATAAATTTAGAAAACTTAGACAATGGGAAATTACCACATAGAAGATTAAGATTAAAAAATTGATACAAAGAATGCAAGGCAATTTCTATAAATATTGAACTTTCAAAGTATTAAAGTTTAATGTATATTTAAAAACACATTTTAAACTTATGGGCATTCTGAATTCTTAGATGATTGTTTTATTTTTTTAAATTTGTTATGTTTGCCATGTTCCATTCTTATATCTGTTTCTGGGAGACTCTCACTTAGGACTGATTAGAGATGACAGGCTGTAATATTAAACACAAAGTTGTGTTGTAAGAAGTGAATTTATCCACCTAGAAATACATACATACAGTTTTTTAAGAAACATTGCTGAAGGGTATAAATAAACCCAATTGCTCTTGGTAAATACATGTAAATGTTTTAAAATTTTTATCTTTTATTTTCTAATACTTTACCTATGTGATGGTGACTTATTTAATCTAAACCAAGAGATAAGGAGTAAAGTGGCTTCCTCTTAGGCAAGGAAAGCTAAGAAGAACTAGGGTACTAGAAGTAGAAATTTGTACTCTAAATATGTGATCTGCTTATACCATGACTTCTCCTCCTCGAGTCTTCTCTGTCTGCTCCCAGGTTAACTTCAAATGAAAGTTGAGATATTCATTTACTTCAATAATTTCATTCTTAATATTATTTTCAGCAGTCACCAGGATAGGTGACTAGAGCCACTAATATTCTGTTGATAGTATTATTCTGTTTTAAGCCAAATGTTTGATTCCATGTCACGAGCTGTGCTTTGATAGCTTGCTTGTTTCTGAACCAATGGGCCCAGTCCCTTGCCTGGAATTCTCCATTTCAGAGCAGATGACTCTATGGGAATATCCTAGCATTTTCTATAAATCATCTATGTATTTTATAAAAATGCACTATAATAACACACATAAATATACCCCAGACTGAATTCAGTAAATTTTTCCATGTACTTACATTTTATTTGGTGGCAGCAGTACCACCTGATCATTAAAGTAAGAAACTTCAGAATTATCCTTGGCACCTCTACATATTTAACTAATGTTTCATCAAGCAGTTATTAAATCCCCTTTTGTTAGAGTTCTTACCTTATTCTTTTTGTCTTTTTTGACAGTTCATTCATCTGACTTTGAGTAATAAAAGAAAGATATGAAAATCCAGGAAAGCCACAATAAATTCTAAGAAAAGTTCAAAAGTTTCTGTGCATTCTCTATAGTCTGATAAGAATTTCACAGATTTTTAATATTCCTTATGAAGCTTCTGACCCTCCAGAGATGATAAGTTTATTCAAAATTATTGCCTGAACTTCATTTACTCCAACTGTCTTCTTGGAATATGTTCATCAAAATTGCTTCTAGCATGATTTACATAACTAGAAATCACAGTGTAATAGCAATTTATAATTTATAATGTTCTTCCATGGACAGTAAGATACCTGCACATATATAGATAGATTATATATAGAGAAATATATATATATATGTATATGCTAAGATTATTTGGTTTGTCATTCCTTTCACTGTAAAATCAAATTATTAAAATGCCTCTTATGTCTCTTTTAAATATGTAATGTCTTTGATATTTATGAAACATCCTTTCCCATCTATTTTCATCAGCTTTATCTTGAATACTATTTTATAGCCCATGATATGTTATAGATGATAATAAGAAATGATGGCTGCATTGAGCAATGTGGCCTCTCTGACAACTTATAGTTATGGTGACTTTGCAATGGGCTATTCAAAATCTCAGGAGATTCCTCAGGTTAGGAAGGCTGAGGGATCCCTTAAGAGACATAAGAGCAAAGCAAAAAGAGACTTGGTCCAGGATAAAATGCAAAGCAGTGTCAATGGCCCTCTGGAACATTCACTTTTTGTATGGTTCTCCTTCAGAGACTACAGTCTTAAGAGACTGCCTCATGGTGCCCAGCAAAGGAGATGACAGGAGTGACAATTAAATATGTAGCTCTCTGGATAAATCTCTATTAGACTAAGAACAAATAAATTTACTGCTGGTAAGCTCTCTAAAAGCTAAGAGAAGGCATTACAAATTCTAATTCCAAAGTGACAATCATTGAATTTCATTTACGTCACAGAAAAAAAAATGGTCACTTGTAGATGTGCTCAAAATATTTCTCCATTTATTTTCCTTACTATCTTGTAAAATCCTATTGAGACACGAATTGCACACATTCAGTCACTTTTGTATTCTTCCCATGTTATATGTGTGCTTATATCCACTTATGGGCTCATGCATATTCTCTGTTTCAGAGTAATAAGTGAATGGATTTCTTTCCACTATGGCTAAACCCATCTATTGTCTCTTCAGCAGTGTCTAAGTAAATATAATTATTTCATTATATCATTGTCAATTTTTACTTTTTGTGTAAATGGAGCTTACATGGCACTTCAATGTTATTTTAATTTGTTCTACTCAAACCAATAAATAAACAGTTTAAACTTCTGTGAATAAGCTGGAGAATGCTATGCCCACCTTCCTGTAAATTGGTTGTTTTTGCTCTTGTTTTCTACTGGAGAGTATGCATTTTTCTTGTTAATTTGCAAATGCTTCTTGGATACTTTTGCCTATACCATGACAAAGGTATTGAAAACATTTGTGTGTATGATCCATTACCCTTTTCTATGGTTTGCTCAATCCTCCAGAAATCTTTAAATTTGATTGTAAGTCATGAAAATTATACAGTATGTTTTTGTGGTGTGAATATTTGTAAACTTTATGTCATAATTATCATCCTGTGTCACCTTTACTAACTTAATATTTTTTAAATTTACATATAAAATTGCATATGGTTGTAGGATGCAATGTTTTGATGTACATAACCATTTTGGATTGATTAAATCTAGATAAATAATATTCATCACCTCACATACTTATTTTTTTGTGGTGAGGTTTTAAAATTTACTGCTAGCAATTTTTAAACCTACAATTTATTAATTACAGAACCTTGCCAGGCAAGGTTCCTCCCAATTGAAACTGTACCCTCTGAGCAACATTTCCCCATTTCCTCTTCCGCTGCTCCTGGCAACTACTATGTGACTTGCTGATTTTATCACTTCATCTATTAAACATCCCAAATGTGAGATCATATGGCATTTTTTATGGACCTGATTTATTGACTTTAGTCTAATGTGTTCTAGATTCATCAATATCATTGCAAATGGCAGGATTTCTTGTTGCTACATAGATAAATAGATTGATCGATAGATAGATCAATAGATAGACAACAGATAGATAGATAAAAGACACATTCCTATGTACATACATACA